TAGAAATGAGGATTCTCCTGAGGTTGCATCTTCCTTCCTCTACCTTCATCTTCCAGTCCATTTCTCAGCCCTCTAGCTCCTTCCTGGGCTTGTCCATCTTGATACCTCTTTCCCCTACCTTCCTTTTCTTGCTTGTTCCAGGGTTCTCTGGCCCTCTCATGTGCTTGTCCACCTTGATGCTTCACTCTCCTTCCCTCATTCTGCTGTTCATTCCAGCATCCTGTAACTCCACTGTTGGCCTGTCCACCTTGGTTTCTTGGTTTATTCTTGCTTGATTGAGGAACCCTCCAAGTCCAACCACCAAGTCTCTCCTCTCTTTTGCCAGGTAGAAGGGTATAATTACTGGCTTGGGGGCCTTCTCCTAACTGAGCTGCCTGGCCTGACACATTAGTTGTTCTGTTTCTGCCTCTTCGTATAAAGCCAGTATCCAAGTGATCTGCATGGTCTTTAAGAAACAAAACAAAACATTCCTTAATTATAAATCAAACACATTAACCTCCCTCCTAACACAAATGTAAGAGCCTGACAATCAGCATATTTAGGACACTTAGCACGAAGTTAGAAAACTACCATTATATTTGCATCCAGACTTTCACATTGGTGTTTCCATTTTACCTCTTTTCCTAACAGCTAAAAAGAGTGCCATGCCTTGAGTTCACTTAAGCTATTAAGCCATAAAGACACTAAAAAACCTAAACTTTTTGACAGAACACAAAGCAGAATTAAGAAAGGCCAGAGATTAAGTTTCCCACAGAGGACAGGATTTCCTCAGGAATTAGTCATCATTGAAATAATGACAAAGGCAGCAGCAGCTGGCTTTGACCAACTGTATACAGCACAGTCAAAACAAAGAGCTTCTGGACAAGGTCAAGCCTTTCAGAGTAGCAGGAAAGATAAACCATATATTCTTTGTCACACTCCCAACAAAATACTCAGAGAAGCACTAAATACAAGCAGAAACAGTTAGCAAAGAGATTGCTACAATGCATCACCACCTCATGGCCAAAGAGACTTCAGGGACAAATAAGGAAATTAGGGAATTTAGGTTCGAGAGGAAATTTCACTGTACACAGGCAGGGAAGCAGTGCTTCTCCCCAGTGCCAGCACGATCCCCTAGGCTTTTTGCAGCCGTTTGCCCTGCATTCACCGTGAGACCCTCACCTCTCCCTCCAGCCCGGGACTGCCGGGAGCAAGACTCCTGCCCGGCTCCCTCCATTGCTCGGGCCGGTGACTCTTCTGCGGGACGTCGCAGCGCTCTGGGGCAAGGGCACCGTTCATCGCCCGGGGATGCGCCGTTCCTGCAGCCGACGACAGGCGCAGCTCATGCCCAGTGCCGCCGTGCGCCACCGGTGAAGTTTCACTTTCCATTTC